TCACCCCGCCCCGCCCCGCCCCAACGGGGCCCTCCTCGTCCTCCGTGCACTCCGTGCCCCGGCGCCCCGCCTCGTTTGGTCGAGCGCGCTGCCCTTTTCTCCGCCGCGCTGCTTTCTGTTCCGTCTCTCTTTCCATGATTATTTCCTATTTTACTGCCTCTCCACTGCCCTGCTCCCTTCCTCTCGCCGCCCTCTCCACCACTCGCCCCTCCCTCCGCAGGCCAGCTCCCCGCTCCGCTCCGCTCTCTCCGGTGACAATGGCCTCTTCGGGTCGGGGGATAAAACCGCCGTCAAGTCCTTTCGATTCAGTGCATCGGCCCGTCCGTAAATACCAGCGCCGGGCCGAGCCGAGCCGGGTCGGGGGTGAGGCGGGGCGGGCGGGGCCGAACCTAGCAGAGCCTCTTCATGATTGGGGTGGCCCCGGCTGGAGCGGGGTGCGCGCGGCGCAGAGACAGTATCGAGTAGCTGCATTACCGCGCTGTTCGCGTGACCTGCTATGCCGCCCCCCCGCGCCCCCCGCAATAACGGGCAGCTGCACACAATGATACCCTCACGGAAAACGAAAACATAAAAGCTATAAACGACGGCTATATAACAAAACAGTAGTTAAATAAACTGATTATTTTGGCTGTTGCTAAAATATAGTTTTGTTGCAAATATTCAGCTCTCTAGCTAAAAAATTAGATGGTTGTTTTCAATTGTATTTTTACACTTGTTTAAGAATGATTAACGAAAAAAATAACCTTTTTCATTTTGTGGGTGCGTTCTAGGCCACCCGATTACTGTGTGTTTTGAGGAAGCCTCCAGGTGGGTACTCAACCTTGCAAAAACGCCTAGTCACAAACAACTCCCAGCAGAGGTCCTTTCTTATGGGTGTTCGCACCCGCCTTATTTCTGGAAAAAGTTGTAGCAACAGTTCATATACGGGCAGCAGAGAGAGAGAGAGAGATGGAGATAGATGCGTCCGTGACTTGGCAAAACACGAGCAGCAAGTTCTTGTGGCTCACGGGCTCTTCGCCCAGAGAGCGGGACGCACCCTCTGGCCCGAGGCCCAAGCCCAGGCCGCAACGCTGCTTCTTGCCATGAGCTCGCCATGAAGACCACCACCATGGAGCTGATGAGAGCTTCACCAGCCGGGGGCACGGCAGCAGCGGCAGACCACCGGCAAGAAATACAAAACTGAATCCCCACGCGCCGCTTGACCCCTTCCTTTTAGAGGGGGCGGAAGAGGAGAGGGTGTCCCGTTGCAAAACGGGGCTCGGGCATAGTCAAGCCCACATAGGCCATGCCGGAGCCGGGCCATCGGGCTCACTCCCTGCACCGTGATCGGGCTGCTGACGGGCATTGGGCCCGGGGAACCGTCGGGGGACGAGCAAGCGAAAGAGGACGAGGGGGGCGAGGAGAGGGACGAGGAAGAAGACGATGAGAGGGACGAGGAAGAGAACGAGGTGAGGGACGAGAAAGAAGACGAGGAAGAGAACGAGGTGAGGGACGAGGAAGACGAGGAGAGGGATGAGGAAGAGAACGAGGCGAGGGACGAGGAAGAAGACGAGGAGAGGGATGAGGAGAGAACGAGGTGAGGAACGAGGAAAGAGACGAGGAAGAGAACGAGGTGAGGGACGAGGAAGAAGACGAGGAAGAGAACGAGG